TGGTTTCTGTTGAGAAATCCAAGCTTAATCTGATTTGCTTGCCTTAGTATGTTATATTTCTCTTTTCCCTAGCTGCTTTCAAGATGCTGTCTTTATCTTTGATTTTGGAGAGCTTGATTATTATATGCCTTGGTGATTATCTTTTAGGGTCTATCCATCCTGGGTTAGTTGAGCTTCTTGTGTCGGGGACCTGCCTCAACAGGGTCGTTTGGTTCACGAAGTAGGGAGATCTGGCGGCGAAAGAAATAGAGAAAGAATATACACAAAGACGCAATGAGAGAAAAAAAGCGACGCTTCGAGACCAGAGTGGATGCAAAACTGGCAGGCAGACCCTGCATTGCAGGCAGCATGGCACTGCAGGCAGTATTGCATGCAGGATTCAATCTGCATTCGTCTTTTATTGCAGGGAGGGATTTTACACAAAGGAAGAAGGTGATTATTAAGACAGGGTACAGAAATGAAATGTGATTAATCATCCAAAACAGGACACAATGATTGACAGGAACAAATTCTAAAACATACATCGCAAATTGTCTTAATAATCTAACATTCTTAATTTTCCAAAAATTCAAGCAAACTGTTATAAATTACTTTTTAGGCTTAAATCCTAAGGCAGTGACGTGAGGTTTCTCAAGGCTAATTAACATACCTATAGCACTTAATCTCCAATGGGGAAAGGTGAAAAGGATTTACAAGGTCTGAAGGGAGTCAAGCTGTTTCAGCTACCTAGCTTAAGCTTTCAGGAGGAAGGAGAACATCTAGGTTAATGGATTACACCTGGGGACAGTTTGAGGGGGCTGCCACTATTATTCCTTAAACAATACTCCCGGAATTTACCAACCTACCTTGAGTGAATACCCTGGGCAGTTTCTCTCTCGAGCCTCCCTGCGTAATCCCAGCAAACCTGCTTTTGGAACTTTTACTGCCTCGGCTTTAGAAGGGGTTTTGGTTTTAATAATGTACATGGATATCAAGAGCTCATGTATTAAGTTAATATCAAACATAACTGAATACTTGATAAAGAACAGTTTTGACATGCTTGCCAGGTGGCCAGAGCTTGTTCCTCAGAGAGATTTGTTCCCAGGACCTTACACACTGCCAACACAGTGGAGACATTAAGAGAGGCACATAAGAAACGATTTTCTCAGAAGCTACAGTTACTGGAGTTAGAAGCATAGAATGAATAATAAGACCAACGAAAATTATACAGAAGTAGCCCACCAGTGAGTTCGCAAAAACCAATGAACCTGGGATGTCAGGAGGCCACTTCCTTTGGCCCTCAGGATCCCTGGCCTGCAATCTGAGGAGTGCCTTCGTGTTGGATTTTCGTCCACGACACAGGGCCACAGCACCTCAGTGCTTGCGGTCACCAACATTCTTGAATGCTTATCTTTTCACTTTTCAGGATGTTAGGAAATTTTTCTTCCAGAAGCTCTTCAACTTTCTCCTCTGTGGACTTGTGTGATTGTTCCTGTTCTGGAATGCCAATAATTCTTATGTTATTCCTCTTCATGTTATCCAACATGAATCTTAGGTCTTCTTCAGATTTTTTTTATCCTATTCGTGTTTGTCCTTCTATCTTAGTAGTGTTGAGAGATTTATCTTCTAGCTCACTAGTTCTGGCTTCTATCTCTTCAATTCTACTCCTTTGCCCTTTCAGTGTATTGTCCATTTCTGATATTCCATTATTAATCGTTTGGACCTCTTTCTGTAGGTTTTGAATAGTTTCCAAGGCTCTATCTATCTTATTTGATTGTTCCTGTAGCACTTTCCTGACTTCTTCCTTATTTTTCTCAACTGCATTGCATAGTGTTTTGATACCTTTTATAATCATTTTTCTGAATTCTTTCTCCAGCATTTCCAAAACCTGCCCATCTTCCAGTATGGAGTGTAGGTCTACTTCTAGCTCATTTGCCTCAGTCACTTTATCTCGTTTCTGGACATGTGCAGATATGGCTATCTGCTTATGTTTTTTGGGCATCTTCAGGGGTTATCTGTGGCCTTAGTACTCAGATGGGTATGTATTTTGGTATTTTTTATTCTTTCTGATTGCCTCCAGGTAGATGTGATCAGGAAATGGGCTTCCCTTTTCACTCTTCTTCTTAAGAAAAAGAGTCATTATGATGTAATTTAGGATTTAATTTTCAGCCTATTTCCTTTTTTGTCTGCTTGTCCCACTCCACAATCCCTGTTAAGACTTTTTTTCTAGTTGTAAACAGTTCAGGGCCGGCTGTGGCTGTTTAGTTTTAATTGGAGATTGTCTCTTTAAATTTCAAGGAAATCTGTGCACATGCGTAGTAGAACCCTCTGAGGGTGGGGCTGGGGTGCCCACTAGCTCAGACGTCCCTATAGTCACCAGAATGGAGGTGTGCAGACAGCAAGGGACCAATGAACAGCTACCAAAAGAGAAGAATGTCCACACCTTTATCTCTGTGGTTCTGTCAGGCATCTGTGGCCGCTCCAATCCTTCCCCCGCTTGGTCTCACCCAAGATGGTGGCTCCTCAAGCAGCCTGCATCTCGAATTAGAAAGCAATGGATTTCTTGCTTCTGCCACAAATTCTGTATAGGGTTTTTGAGGAACAAAAACTTGTGGGTTTGAACTGCTGACCTTGAGGTTCACAGTCCAGTGCTGATCCACAGCACCACACCAGAAGTGCAAGGACCTTATTCTGAAATGGATTATATCCACAGATATGTTATTGTTATTAAGTGCCATGAACTCTGTTCTGACTTATTGTGAACCTGTATTGGGTTTCCAGGGAGCGGATGGTGGCTTGGACTGCTGACCTTGGGTTAGCAGTTCAGTGCTTATCTTGCAGCCATTTCATCCATAACAACAGTAAAGAAGTTCATCTAGAGTGTCAGGTAGTTGTTTCACTGAACCATTCAATAAATATTTATTGAGGACCTACCAAATGTCAGCACTCTGCTAGACACTGGAATCAGACAGTGAATGAAAATGCAGTGCCTGCTTTCCAGGAGATTACAGGCCAGTAAGGGAAGGTAGGGAAAGTACAGAGTCCAGAGAGAGCAAGGGACAAGGACAGAGAAGTCTTCATCCTCAGAGACTCCGCAACTCTGTTACACGTGTGGAGATGCGATGGCTCAGATTCAGCTGTGACCTCCACACCTCACTGGCAAGGGCTTCTCCTTCTGCTCATTCTCTGGTATACTGAACATTGGCACCCAAGAACAGGAAGTCCTAAGAAAGACAAGACAGAATCTACTCCAAAGAGATGCATTGCAAATTTAAAAGGGAGGCTAATCTTGGGAAATAAAATGTCTGCCAGAAACCAGGTCAGTACACAAATTGTGAGTGTGCCCCAGTCCCCATAAATGACAGGTTTTACCAGCTACCTTAGCCAAGGTAGCAATTTATCTGTCATTTCCCAAGCTGCTTCTTCCTAGAAGTCCTTATAAATGTCCTTGTGTCACATAAATTTTCTCTCCTTGGTGAATAACACAAAATTGTGAGCTTCTGGGGTTTATTCTCCTGCCTCCTGTGAACTCTCCATCACCAGAATTCCAGGGCTGGAATTCTGACCCTGGAATTTTGAACTCAGACAAAGTCCAATTCGTTCTTACAATGATCCTTTGGTGGTCAGACAAATGGACAGCGTTGTCCTCAAAATTCTAGTAAATGCAATAAAATAAGTAACAGAATAAATCTTCCAGTCACCTCCCATGTTCCAAACATTATGCTAGAAGCTTTCATAAATGGCCTTCCTCGTCACAAGTGCCCAGGGAATTTTGGGCTACAACCATTTTATAGCCAACTGAGTGAATTTTCACTCAACATTTGCTTTGATCACTGATGTCTGACTTCACTTGTAACATTCAATGGTAGCTGGATATTGTCATTGATTGAAGTTTCTCCCCAAAAGACAGGTTGAGGTCCTAACTCCTGGCACCTGTGAGCATGACCTTGTTTGGAAATAGGGTCGTTGAAGATGTTATCAGTTAACATAAGGTCAGAGTGGAGAAAGGGGTTCTGAGTCCGATATGAGTGGTAGTGGTGGTGATGGTAATGGTTATGTGCCATGGAGTCGGTTCTGACTCATAGCGACCCTGGAGTGGATGGTAGATTTGAACTGCTGACCTTGCGGCTAGCAGCTCAGCTCTTAATCCACTATGCTACCAGAGCTCCTTGATGTGAGCTGGGTCCTTTCAGAAGAGGAGAAGAGACAGAGATATGCAGAGTGTATAGAGTCCCGCAAGACAGTGGCAGAGATTGGAGTGATGCATCAAAGAGCCAAGGAATGCCAAGGGTTGCCAGTGCTAACCAGAAGCTAGAAGAAAGGCATGGGATAGATTCTCTCAGACCCTCCAGAAGGAATCAACATGGCCAACATCCCACTTTCAAATTTCTAGCCTCCAGAGCTGTGAGACAATACATTTCTTTAAAGTTTCCTAGTTTCATGGTACTTTGCTACAGCAGCCCTAGAAAAGGAAGACAGACACATTGAGTATTTCTGGGACTGAAAAAGGGTTTGGACATCTGTTGTCCAAGGATCATAATGGGTCAATGTTTCAAGGTTCTCAACCATTCTCTGCATGTTCTCCTCTTTATAGTTATTATTATGGATGCTGACTATGTACCAGGCACAATGAATCATTCCCTTTAGTGCTTACAGTCTTCTAACCCCCCTCCCAGATGCTATTCAAGAAAGAGCCTGAACCTGGGGCACAGATGGACCACCAGACAGTGAAGTCTCAGGCATGTTCCTTGGTTTTGAGATAGTTCCGTGAGTAATGATTCCTTCTCTGGATGTAGCAGGACACAGCTGCTCAGCACGGTGGGGGAGGACACTATGTTGAAACAAGGGAACAAGCCTGAGGGATGATGATGTTAAGTTTTAAACAAAGAAAACAAGTATGAGCAACTATCCAAATCAAGCAACCAAATTAACCAAAAGATATTGTTGTTGTGTTTTTTTGAATGCTAGGTGAAAAAGAAAGAAGAGGAAAGAAGGATGAGAAGAAAACATATCAACCTTTCAACTGTGATTGTGGTGAGGCAATGGGCTTAGGAATAATTTTCGAAAATGTCAGTAATGTTTAGAATGGGAGGGGCACACCAAACATATTTATACTGAAGTTCTGCCACTTAAACTAAAAAAAAAAAAAAAAAATTTAAGTGTATGAATGGCTTTTAAAATCGGACTGATTGTCAAGTCTCAGACTAATAGGATTTTAAAGATGAATTGGTCATGAAGCGCTCTCAGGTCACCCACAGTGGGGAAGGCAGACAGTAGGGGCATAGTGCTGTGTCAGACTTCCTGCCTCAACACAGGAGCCATTCCTAAAGGACACCAAATGGCTTCATGACATGTAGTAGTGTTTGGGAGCATCCTTGTTCCAGCCCAGATGTCCCCAGCGGCAGTGCTGGGCTGGGACCCATCTACTAAGCAAGCTAATCCCCACCCAAATCCTCAGAGTCCCCACCCCACCTAATCCACTGACCTTGTGGATCTGGAGAACAAGGTCGTAGAGCTGAGTTCGTTTTAGCAGAGGGAGAGTGAAACCTTTCACCAGCTTCTCTGGAGGTTGAGGAAAATTGGTTAATAAGTAACAAATATGGACAATATTTATAGAGTCTGCTCTCTGCCAGAAACTCAGTTTTCCTGTTTCATTCTCACAAAAAATAAGTATGCTAATTCCTCCCATGTTATAAATGAGGAAATGGAGGCAAAGAGAAGCCAAATAACTTGTCTTAGATCACACAGCTAGAAAGTAGCAGAGCTGGGATTTGAACCCAGGCACGCTGACACTGAAGCCTGAGCTCTCATATGGAGGATGGTATGGATGAACCTACACACGTGATCAGCTGCTCCTTGAAAACCCTATACAGGGTTGCTATGGGTTGAACTAGTGGGCATTTGCTCTGTGCTCCCCAACCCTGTCCTGTTTTCCACGTAGCGAAATGAAGCTGGAACTTGTGGAAACAAGGTTTAGAACTATTGGTTTTATTGTTTCACAAGGGGATTGGACTGGAAAGTGAATTCAGCTTTGGTTTGCCTGTGACTCTACGTTAATTTGTCCCTCAGTCATTCATTTGTGTCTTCAGAGTGGAGGTGGTGGTAGAGACACTTCCGTGAGTCCCGCTTTCTCCTTCAAGAGCTACCCCAATCCTCATTAAAACCCAAGGGAAATTAGGTCAGTTTCAGTGCTCCCTTCCTACTGAAGTTCAGAGAGGTGAATCACATGAATTCCCCACAGTTTGGAGGGGAACCCTGTTTCCCAAATTCAGGTCCACCTCTCTAGTCTCCAAAGAGCTGCCTCCCTAGCAATTCTTACCATTGACCTTAGGGTAGAGGTTGTTGACAGCGTAGTAGTTAATGAGTGCTTCCAACAGCTCCACCTAGTGGAGAACAAGAGAGGCACACTGTGACCAAACGTGCCATCTTGTCCACACCAAATCCCACTTGGCTACCCTGGGGATGTTGTTGTTGTTGTTAAGTGCTGTCGAGTTGGCTCCAACCCATAGCAACCCTGTATAGGGTTTTCAAGGAGCAGCTGATGAGCTTGAACTGCCGACCTATATATGGTTCTATATGCCCTAATGTGGCAGAAAACTTGAAGAAAGCAAACTGCCAACCAAAACCTGCATCAGCTCTTCTACTTTTCCATTTTCTGCTATAGGTTCCCATAGCAATTGCTTAGCAAAGACCAAGTAAATGAATACCTAGGAGTCCTGGTGTGGCATTGTTGGTAGTTCAAACCCACCAACCACTCCTTGGAAACCCTATACAGGGTTTCTATGAATCAGAACCAACTCGCTGACATACAACAACAACAACAAGAGGCATTTCATCAATACAAATAACAACAACTTACATTGAATACTCCAAATTTGGATTCCTTCAGTTCCAATTGTACTCTATAATGAATGACAGAAGAGTCAGAGATGTAAGTACTACCTTCATGGAAAGCCTAAGCAATTCAGGGTGCCCAGAAAGGAAGAGGTAAAAGGTAGTGTAGGGGTGAGGATAGAAAAGTAAGATAAGTGAGTAGTTACAAATGACAATACAACCATATTGGGAAGACACAGAGGGCATGGGAGTTGGTATAAAAGGGCTCCACCAAAGTCTAGCATTTCAGGAAGTCAATAGCTGAGGTCTAAAATTTATAGCTCAAGAAAATTGAATTCCTTAGCAATTTCAAAGTAATGGGTACTGGGTAGAGGAAGTTTGTAGAGGCAGGACCAATATGGCAAAATAATTAGACCAACTCAGGTAAAATGTACATTTCCTTACCAAATGGTGGAGCCCAACATTGGCAGGAAGAGATCCCACACCTCCACCCCACTCCCCACCCCCAACTGCAGAGTAGCAGATACAGTATCCTGACGGAGTCCAGTTGAGTCTCTCATGTGGGGAGGAAGCTGACTTACTTTCCTGGCCTCAGGAACCCCGTGATCTTGCTGGTGTTGAAGCTCAACATGGCGGACACGTTAGTGGCCTGGAAATCCCAGAAGAAAGAAATAGGTCTGGACACTGGAGAGTGTCATGGACAGCGAGGGTAGCTGTGAGGACCAGCTGTCTCTTCTCAATGATCAGTTCAGTGAGTAAAAGTGGGAAACTGGATTCCCAGAAGACATAGGTGCTCCATTCATACTTGAACTTGAATTTGAACATTTCACTTGAAATTGCTGAGTATAACAGCAATGAAATGACATCCCTGGAGATCTCTAAAGAAAATCATTTCTAGGTACTTCAGAACCAGATTTGTCCCTAGTAGTAGTAATAATAATACAAGTATATTAATGCTTAACTTAAATATATTAACAACAACAACAACAGTTTTAACAATAATATCAACGTATGTCAAATTGGACACATAGCATCTAGGAGCAATCATCTTGCCAGAGATTTGACTTATTGAGTATCCAATCTGAAACAAGAGAGCAAAATTCTCCATCCAGTGAGTAGGACCCTAAAGGACTCAGAATTCTTTCTCTGTTAGGCTTCATCAAGAAATAAGTTATCACTCAATACTTAACACAGAGGGAATTGAGAACAGGGAATTTGCTTATCCAAGAGACAGTATAACTGTGAAGCCAAGAATGAGTTGCAGAAGGAATTCAGAAATGAGCAGAGACAAGATGCTGCTTCCATACTAGGACAGGAGGAACAAAGGGAGGAGTTGGGTTATGGGACCCCAGGGAATGGGGCCATCTGGTGGAAGCTGGAAATATGGAGGTGACAGTCACTGACAGAGACTTTGCCCAAGGCAAAAAGAGAGGAAAACATGATCTGGCTTCTTCCTCATCCTCTCCTCCACATCCTGGCAATATTTAGCTGAAAGTCAGAGTGGAAGGGAACCTAGGAAATGTAGTTTGGGATGGTGGGGGGGGGGGGAATAGCATGTGTAGATACCAAACAAACAAAAGAGTGGGTGACTTAAATGACTACTAGCCAAAAGGTTGCCATGACAGACCTGGTTACCTGCTCCCCAAAGATCACAGCCTGGAACACACTATGGAGCAGCTCTGTTCAGTACACAGAGGGCTGATGGGAGTCGGAAGCAACTCAGTGGTAACTAACAACAACAGAAGTCAGTCAATATCAATAAAAAAGCAACGATAAAATAAGGGATAAAAGCTCTGAGTGGTTTACAGAAAAAGAACAAACAAAAATCAAACTCACTGCTGTTGGGTTGACTTTGAGTCATGGTGACCCGATGTGTTTCAGAGTACAGCTGCACTCCACAGGGTTTTCAGTGCCTGTAATCTTGTGGAAGGGTCCCCGGGTGTGACTACTAGCTAAAAGGTTGGCCTCTGAAGCCACGCCTTTGGAAAGATCACAGCCTTGAAAACACTATGAAGCAGGTGTACACATGGCGTCTCCATACTTGATGGCAGCTAGAAACAACAATCTTATGGAAATAGATCACTCGATCTTTATTTCATGGTGCTACTGTGTAGATTCAAACTGCTAAACTTTTAGTTAGTAGTTGAGTGCAAACTATCTGCGCCATATACCCTTTTCTCCAGAATAGCCCAGACTCAGCTACAAGATTAAAAATAATAATAATAAAATAAAAAATGACAGGGGACCTGAGACTGATAGAAGTTAAGGACAACTAGGGAAGTTCTCTCTGAGGAAGTGATAGCTCAGCTGAGAACTACAGGAATTAACTGAGTGATGGAAAAGCATACAGGAAAAAAGGAACACATTTGCAAAAACTCTGAGGAGAACAAACAAGATGGCGGATCGGGTGGACATATAGCAGAGAGCTACACCACCAACAACACAGAATACCCGACCAAGCAGGCTCAGGGGATGGTCCCAGAACTCTGAACCACATATAAAGGAATACTTAGAAGGTTGGAAG